GTTGGTAAAGAGGGGGTCCAGGACCAGTTAAGATGCCAGCAATGTTAGCCACGGTCACGAATCAAACTCAGCGCACTAGGCTCTATAAACGCAGCGCGTTAACCTTTGTGCCACCACTGCTCCTCCACTCCTCCTCAGCGTAATGTAATAAATAGACCGCGACAGCACAATAATATACGATGATACTCATCGTTTAGCCATGATTACACAGCAGCTTAAATCGCTGTTGAGTAAACAGTAAACAGAGCATAGCATACATTAATGCGTGCCATATTCATTTCAATACGTGCAGGGACCCCTCTTCCAACCCCCCTTCAGATAGGGGGAATTGTTTCAGGATTGTCTCAAATTATATATGAACCGTGTGCACCTTTATCATATTGTTTCATTGCGTCCTTCATACACGTCTGCTCTGTGAGAAAAAGTGAAAACTATCACCGTCATCTAAATGAACGAACTATTTATTTTTACTGCATTCCCGGTGTTCCTGTTGTACTGTCACCACCATGTCGTGAGCCCAGGGCAGCATGTAACATTGTCGGACATGAGCTATGGTTAATCCTCCTACAGGAAGATGCACCTTGGATGTCAACTGTTGTTACTTTTATTATGTTATCAAAGAAATATTGATCCATGGCCATACATCTTGTGTGATTCCATAAATTGCAAAAGCCGCCGGTTTTCTTCTGTCGAAACACCTGGCCCATAAAATGGTTTGCCACCATTACTTTAGTTGTGCACTGTGATTGGTCAAAGGGCCACCACCTGGTGCTGTGGGTTAAACTCGAGGCTGTGGCCCAGTGTTGAGGCTGTGGGTCAGTGTTGAGGCTGTAGGTCATTGTTAAGGCTGTTAGGTCAAGGTTGGTTGGGGCTGTGGGTCAATGTTAATGCTGTGGGTTAGTGTTGGTTGGGACTGTGGGTCAGTGTTGAGGCTGTGGGTTAGTGTTGGTTGGGACTGTGGGTCAGTGTTGAGGCTCTGGGTTAGTGTTGGTTGGGACTGTAGGTCAGTGTTCAGGCTGTGGGTCAGTGTTGGGGCTGTAGGTCAGTGTTGATGCTGTGGGTTAGTGTTGGTTGGGACTGTAGGTCAGTGTTGATGCTGTTGGTTAGTGTTGGTTTGGACTGTGGGTCAGTGTTCAGGCTGTGGGTTAGTGTTGGATGGGACTGTTGGTCAATGTTGATACTGTGGGTTAGTGTTGGTTGGGACTGTGGGTCAGTGTTGATGCTGTGGGTCAGAGTTGGGGCTGTGGGATAGTGTTCAGACTCTATGCTAGTGTTGGGGCTGTCGGTAAATGTTTACGCTGCTTAGATACCTCACTCTGCAGTTGTGTGGTGCAGACACAGCACTACACGAGTGGCAGGGATTGTGGAGTGATGTGGTACAAGAGGATGTGGAGCTGAGTGGATTTGCCGATGACTGGTACCAGTGGTGTCAAGATCGGCCTCTTTGGAGGAGGCTCGCGATGGACGCTACTGGGCAGTTGGAGGCAGTCGCTCTCCAACAACAACGGAGGGCAGAGGAGCGATGCTCACAACAACGAGCGGAGCGCCAGGTGGCTAAAGCACAGCAAGTTGGCACAGTAGGGGGCACAGGTGGTGCATCGGCTACTCGTCTCAGTCAGTCGACCCGTGGCACCTGGGTCTGTCCCGTGACCTCCTGCCAGCAGGCGTTCGACACTTCACATGGCCTCAACGTGCACATAACCTGACACAAGCACCGTGGTGACGTCATCGCCACTTAGAATGGCGGTTGTTGTTGGTGTATCCGATGTGCACTCGGATATCCCTCCGTCTACAAGTATTCTCATAGGATCACCATATGTATTTTAACTTCCTTCGCACCCTATGTAGCCAATCGTGCTCGTAATGCAGTGGACCTAACGCGATTGTAGCCCACTCATGTCACGAGATGGCACTATAATGGTGCACCTGGAATCCACACTTTTGACACCGCCACTCATGACTGAACCTTCAAACTCCCATCACACATCTCAGGACACTGGGCCTCGACATGCATCTAAATTAAAAATAAAACAGCTGTTGTTATTTCCTCAGTTTGCTTCGGACTTCACACCGTCATCGTGGTCCTGGGGCTATGCAAGATTCTTAAAGTGTAAACGACACTGAGACTGACCACGTGTTTGCGTTCACGCACTGCTCTCTAGTAATTCCTCGGCGTGCGGGTGGAGGAGGCTCCTCATTGAATCGACACCGATAGACGTAAGCAACAGCGGCATGTGGCGTCTCTCGCGTGAAAGCGTTCCCTGCCAGGTGTTGTGGCGCTGCTGTGCTCCACGGATGAAACAACGCTTTGATCATCTGTAACTGATGTCAATGGAATAATTGCCAAGTGATATATATATATCTTTTTAGGTCCTGAAAAAAAATATGCGCGCAAATTTAAATTGGCCAGTGTCTGGTTTCGATATAAGTTTGATTTAATGCACGGCTCCACCATCAAGAGACCCGTTCACAGTAACAGACCTGCCTTCATTGTTTCTCTCCACACACAAACACGCACGCACGCCACTTTTAACGCAGGGCCTCAAAGCATTTACTGCCGCAGTCATGCATACAGAGCTGATGGAGTCAATAAAACGTATAATGCACCAAGCCGCACTGGTAGAAAGACCTGAGCCAATGTCACAAAATAACCCCGTAAAAAACATTGCCGCGTGCAACCACACATGACGTCAAAATCATATACACACGTGACTTAACATCATTCGTTTAGCTCCGCTCACAAAAACCCGTTAAGTTGGGATTGGAACAATAAAGGACTGTCAGTCTCTCAAAGAGCACTCCACAAAGGTCACGATGCTGGAGCCGCACTAAAAATAAGTCTTTCCCAAATAAGATTCCTGCATGTGGCCCGAAGAAGAGACGTTAAAATGCGGATGGAGGCTTTTGGCTCGTTGAACATCGTGAGTCGGGAAGTCACAACATCAAGTGGGTGGTGATAATCCAAGCCAGATCTTAAAGGTCAGAATCAAGATTTTATATAATGTCTTGCCTTGGCTGGCAACAACCAATGGCTACCATTCTACCAAAAACGATGGCACAAAGTGTTTTTTTTACTATGAATATTGGAAATGTGTTGTAATTGAGAATTGTTGACTATATTTTACTACTGTATCACTTGATACTACTGTATCACTTGATACAGTAGTTTTGCTGTGACGGTGCCACCTGAAGACTGGAAGCTTGTGTTGCCTCCGAAACGTCGTGATTTAATTATTTATTCTTATTTTTTACCTACGTGACTTTACCGAAAAAACCAAAGAGTATGGACCGTTGCAGTCACTAAAACTTCAAATCTAGAATTAAGTTCAACATACACACTTAGTAAGCAAATACATATCTAGTATATGAATACCCAACTCAAATAGGTTTTACTCACTCAAAAAGCAAGCTAATTTGTTTAAGCCGAGATGCCCCCCCCCCCATCGTAGAATGAATTTAAAACAGAGTCCATGACACGGGATACACGGTCCATCTCACTCTTGCTCAGAGCCCCATCAGCAAACCGTGCCCAGCTTCCGACTGCTGCGGAATGCAAAGTGTGTGCGGTTTGGGGCACACGAAGCGTCGCAGCTTCACGGAGCAGTCCAATAAAACTGGCCGTGCTGCGAGACGCGACGGGAACATGTCAGGCCGTTATCATAAACAAAATAGGCGTCATCATCATGATCAATACTGTTGATCCCATGACACCTTGCCATCACTTCCTTCCTACGGGTGAGGTCCCCTCAGCTGCTGTAAAGTCGATACCTGCTGACATAGAAGGGTCTGCACTTACTGTCTCACCATCACCACCACCACCACGTGATCATAGGTCTTCTCCTTGACTACCGACCTCTGAGTGCCACTCCAATGCCTGTCCCGGGGGACGCCCCCCCTCCGTACTGCTCACACGTCCCACCGATTGCGACCCACTCTTCCTGCCATGTTGCACGCCACACGTCCAACTTGCTTACTCTGTCTTGCCGTGGAATTTCTTGGCATCTTCTGCATACACCGCAATTCAGAGGTCAGAAGCTTATTTTTGTTACTTTGCTTAAAAAGTGCAGCTCTATAGCCTCCACAGACACCCATTTCTGAACGCTAGACTTGACCTCCCTGCTCTGCCAAACTGATGCACGTAGTTCATCAAACACCTTCACGCCAATGAACTGCATTCACATGACCCCCTTGCTCTATGTGCATTGCCACCTACATCCACAAATTATTCCAATCACTGCATGTGCATGTGCAAATACATTTGCAAACTCCACCCCGATGAGTTATTTATTTAAACCCCAGTGTCTTGTCTCACTACCAATAACTGCAAAACACTGCAATGCCTCATCCAAAGTCCTCGCCACGTGCCTCAATCGTCAACACACCCCAAGTGTTACAGGTGCAAGCAAGCGAAACAATAGCGTATACAAAATATGAAGAAATACTCATGACGCGCTGGTAAATATCACAATACTTTTGATAGGAAGCCATCCCGAGACGGGATTAGACACTCAGGAGCCGGTGTTGCCACGCCTCTCCGTTGGGGCCCTTAGGCCATCCGTGCCTTTAACCTTGGTAACTTGTTTAGCGGGACCAGTTCTGCTGCGCTAAGTTCTCAACAGCGGCGTAGGTTCCGGCTCGCATGGAAACAGTTTGCTCGGCCGATGAAAATGCGAGTGATCGCTGCTCTCTTCGGAACTTTAGAGGTGTAAATTGACGTTGCCGTCATGTTGTTGCCGTTTTCGCCAACGCTGCAATGCGCACGGCGCAACGAGAGGCCGCGCCGTCTGTGAATAATGCATGAGCAAGCGAGGGGCTTGTTTCAATCTCCAAGCTGAAAGATGTTCTTGCCACTCCATGGTGCGGTGACAAAATTCGGAATTATTTCCATGCCATGCAGCTGCAACGTTACACTATTATTTATTAATATATTCCTCCTCGTGAGGTGTGCGCACTGAACAGCAACGCCTTTTGAATGCTCCTCCGGTTTATGTTTTTGGCAGGAGAGGTTAGAGACCGCAGCTGACAACCTCCTTTTCTTGATGGACTACACGTACCTGTCAAAAGAGGACCTCATCCTGAATGGGAATACCTTCTCGTGGCCCGTGCGAATCCTGCCAATTATTCGCAACAGGTAAGAAGCGTTGTCTGTCGGCGTGTTTCGTGAATGTTACGAGCGATGACACTTGGCACACACGCTGTGAGCTCTAAAGCAGTCCCCCCCCCCCTGGCTGTAGAGAAGCCGTGGATATGCTGTCATCCCTTAACCCGACTTTTAAATTCCCCACCATAAATTCCCAACGTGTTCCTCGCGTCTGTGGAGCATTCCCTCTCTCTTCACCTCCCACGGCCCCCCACGAACCTCGAACTCTCTGTCGTCTGCCATCCACCACGTCCAAACCCGCTCTTCGCGTCCTACTTTTCAGATCTCACCTCGGACGTGTGTCTATCCTCACCACGAAGCATTGCTGGTCATTTCAAAATCCAGGTTGGCAATGCGTCTAATTTCCATCTCGAGCAACTTCCAAGTCACTCTTGAGATCTGTCGATCTCTCCCAACTCACTCCCGTGGCCACACTATCCACCTTGTCGGCTCCGGGAACAAGTTCATCACCACTATTTCACCCGTCACTTTTAGCAACGAACACTTTATAAATATCCCCTTTTCCCAACCTAAGTCACCTTAGGTTGAAATATGTCTCCTTCACTTCTCTGCTTCTCTGCTGCCACATTCTTTTTTGGTCCTGAGATAGTGGTTAAAAATGCCACTTTCCTCTGCTGGGAACCAGTCTCCTGAGTGAGTAAAAAAAAAAAATCACTGCTGAGATCCCACAAAATGATACTCATTTAAACACCCCATAAGGGGCAACCCCTAAGTGGGAGTTCAACTCGTTGCTTCCGATCGAGGTGGGCAAACTTCCGCAGCGCCAGCTGGCCTGGAATGATCGCACGGCAGCCACGCACCAAGCCAGAGCAGCCACCGCTGCAGGTGCCTCGCTCGGCTGCCCCTCCTCGTGCACGTGCCTGGCTGTCATTTGTTTTTACACACTTAATATTCAATTCAATTTATGTAATAATGTGTCCATGATGTGCTTCATTTGATCATATATAAGTCAATCTTTCAACATCTATTTTAATGCGTCTCAGATTTATACGTCATTTGTATCTTTATGCTAAATCCATTAGTTCTAAACGTGACATATATCCCAGCGACTCTGTTTTTTTTTTAAAGATATCAATAGGATTATTTTGCCTCGACATTTAAATGTGTAAGGGCTCATTGAGCCGCATCACTGATAGGACGAGGGAGACCCGCGTAAGCGTAGCTGCGTCAGTGGGGTTATTACTGAGTGACAAAGAGACACTGCGCCGGTGTGATGGTCAGCACACCGGACTTGCAATCCAGAGGTCACCACTTCGGGCCACATTCACCGGCGCGACAGTTTAAACAATGGCGCATGTTTCTAAAATCCCTCCCATCGCCTCCGTCCTCCGGGCAGTGTGAATTAGTACATCCCCCTCAATTGGTTTGGTCACGTGCGGTGGAATAAAATGAGCTTCTGCCAGCAGTGGGGTGAACAAGCAACTGCAGCCCTGCACCTTGAGCCTTACCACACAGGGTTGTCAGTTTAATCAGGCCCGCCTTTAGCAATAAGATCGTGATTTATGTTAAAATCCATGTGTGGGATTGTAACTTCAGCTGCATGCACATTGGATACCAGGAGTGGCAAAACCACATTAATTATATTGCCTGTGATACGGGGGATGTGAAGTCACAGATCACAGGATGGAAACGCTGCTCAACTGCAGTGTTTGTTGAACGTTGAACTTCTTTCGCACCGTATGTAGCCAACCGTGCTAATCGGAAGTGCTAATTATGCAATGGGGGTACCCCCCCCTCCCGCTTCATTGTGGATTTGATGAGTTCAGCAGTCACGTTTAGCTACATTTTCGAGTGCTAATGGCACTGCACGTTAACGTTGTTCACGCAATTGCTTCAAGTTAAAAGTGGAGTGCCGGGAAACTTTTGAGAATCTGCGAGTAAACAACGGGGCATTGCTCTTTGAGGTTTAACTCAGCAGCCACGGCTCACCGCACAAACCTCCCGGTGTAGTTGAACATTAGACTGCACAGTACAAAGTGAGAGACATTTTTTAACTGGAGGTTATGTGCCCTTAACGGTCAAAGGATAATAGATGTATCAACAAACCGTTTCCGCAAGTGTAACTAACCTTCACTTAAACTGTCATTCAAATTTGTAAAGCTCCCTTCGTGCAGATAATATGTGTGTGTGTCCATTCGAAGCATATATTACGTGTTTGAGCATAGCCTCAATTCTATCGGAAGAGCAGTTGCAAGGTTTTGAGCAGAAGAATGCCAAAATGTTGTGTCCAAAATAAACAAAGTGCATCTACATATCTACATCAGTTCAAGCCTCCCGCAAGTCACGTGGCTTCTGTGTGGCCACCCCCACTCTGAGCCCCTCTTCTCTCCCCGCTGCCCCATGTGAAAGCAGACGCTGCTCCGTGCAGCTCACTCCTTCTCTCTCCTTCCCCTCTCTCTTCCTCCCCTCTCACCCTCACAACCCTCTCATCCCCGACATGTTGGCTAGGTCATTCCTTCTCTCCCTTTCTTCCTGTTGCTAATCTTGAGCCGTGCCCTCTTTGTCTGTCGTGGAGACTTCCGTCCCAGCCTCCCTTCTCTTTCCCGTTCCTTTCCTCCTTTCCCCTGACTCCATTTTTTTTGCTTTTTATTTTACCAGGTAAGGCCTACTGAGATACGTAGCTCTTTTTCAGAAGCGACCTGGCCACAAATTATAGCTCAATGGAGTGGCTTATCATGTGGAAATTATAGCGGCCAAATACTCGTAATGCATGTTTCTAAATGAGGAGCGAAACATCCGGAGGACCTGGAGAAAAATCCACGCGACCACAGGGCCGACACGCAAACTCCAAATACACAGGCATCGTCAGGGTCGGGATCGAACCCACAACCTTCTGTATACCAGGAGAGGTATTGAACATCTTGCCACCGTGGCATATACCTGCCCTTCCCATGGTGGTGGCACCACGAGTAAAGGGTTCTATTGCAAATAATCACGGTGCAATGTCACGTACTTTATTAAATGTTTCGACCAATTCTGCAAAGACAAACGCAACTTTACTCCGGCAGAACTCCTGCCGCAGTTTCAGATAAGTGGCCCTCGTTTAAAATATTTTCGCCAGCAACATTAAAGTTTCAACAATTCAACTTAACGATAAAAATCCATTTTATTTTGTGGACCAATTAGCATAATGTGATTTTTTTTATACATCTGTCACAAACACCGCCTTCAAATGAATAATAGAATAAGAAACATATAATAGTAGACGTTTCAGGCAATGGTTCTTTTTCACGAGGCCCATATTTTTCCTTTCAAGGCAACGTTATTGACGAATGCATTTGGGTCTTTGTAAACTGTCCTTGTTGCGCCGTTACAAATGCAGCAGCAGCGGCGGCAGCATCGCCAAATAATTTGTCTAATGTTAAAAGATCGGTCGCAGACTCAAAGCCTAACCATATCACATGTCCGTTTTAATCTTCGAGGCACAGTGTCACAGTGCCAATGAATAAGGTTTTTTGTGTGAATGCGAGAAGTGTGGCTGCGCCGCACGAAGCCGCATGTCATCGCAGCGTCGCGCACCCACAGAAACAAAACAGAGGCACGAGTTGAAAGGGGCCACATCAGGTGAAGCAAATCTCATCTGGCGTACATTTTATTGCACTTAATTCCACATTGATTGCTTTTGTCATGCCCTTGTTGTTTCTGCTGCTACATGGTTCATATGCCTTCGCTAGCCGTGCGCGGGCAATATTCGTCATTTCGTTTTAGCATTCTCCTCGTGGGGAATGCGCGATGAGGATATTTGTGCATTTTGTAGCAGTGGAGCAGTGGCCGCCAACGGAGCATCGGGACGCGCGCGGCGACTTTGGAAATGCCCTTGACTTTGATTTTTAACAGGAGATGTAAAAGAGGCTGCAGATAAATGCAAAAGAAACAACATGTGAAATTTCCCCCCCTCCCACTCCTCTCTCTGTATCTAAACATACACAGAAGTAGTGCTAATAGCGACAGTGAGAGTCACAACACGTATCAACCGTGGCAGTCATGAAGGTAGCTATGTAATAACGGTCTAATTGGCTCCAGTTACTGTGATGTAATTTGAAAAAGGTGCAAAACTATAGCATTTACTACAATGCTAATGACTGCATTTCTTACAACAGTTCAGCCCCTGAATTGGAAACATCGAATCATATGTATGTATGTTGAACTTTTTTCACACCATATGTAGTCAACCATGCTAATTAGAGGTGCGGGGAAGGACAACAAGCTGAATACGCAGCTCTAAAGAAATGAGGTATTCAATCTAGATGATTTAAAGTGCATAGCTCCAGTGGCTTCCTAAACATCGGAAGGAAGAGCGTTCCAGACGGCCTCAGAAACGCACCTGAGAGCGCGCGATGCGGCGACCGCCTTTGTTCGACGGTTCGCCAAAGGCCGCTGCGAGGTCGAACGGTTTGGTTTATGTTCCTTGACGAGAGCGGCGATGCGTTGTGGTTCATTTGTGGTTCACTCTCCAGCAAGCTGCCTCCGCCACTGCTGCTGTGTTGCTTTTGTCAGCCTACAACTTCCTACCGCTGGTCAAATGCCTCCCCGCTCGCCCGCCCCCACTGCCTCTCCCATTCCTCCCTTTCCTTCGTGGCTCCTTGCCAGCAGCGCTCTCCAAACTCCGCGACGCCGTCTCCCTGCGGCAGTCTCCCGCTGCGGTCTCGTCCCCCCCTCTCGGTCTCCTCTCGTCTCACGGTCGGCTATTCTTCGTGTCGTCTGCTGCCAATTTGCACTCGACTTCATTTTGTTGCTTTCACGACAGCATCGGTGAGCCCGGTTCTTTTTTCCCCTATTTTGCGCATCCCTTAACCTAACTCCTACCACGTACTCCTTTTTGTAGATTACGAGCCGTAGGCAAGAGTAAATAAACACGGGGGGGAGGCAATGCTTAATTTAGAATAATGGCAAGTTGCAGATTCTATCTGGGGAGTCAAGAGTTCTGCCCTCTGTGGATTCCTGCGTTGAGGGACGTCCCAAAAGAAACT